ATGTAATTATTATATTTTCCGCCTGCGCGACTCTCTGTCCATCGATTTTCCGACTCCGCCGCCACGATTATTATATACGTACATATATATACATACATATATACATATATATATATACATATATATATATATATATATATATATCGTTCGTTGATAACTAAAAACTGTGAGACATCCCTGCCGTGAAATTGCCCTTTTTCGCGCCACGCGCGCGTGTATTGCGCGCGAGTGGAAATGGAAATTTGTACATACTGTGCAAACGCATCTACACTGCTCCGGTATGTATCGCGGATTCGTAACACCGGAATCTTGTGTAACCGTGTCGGCAACGAAAATTACGTGTAACCGCTGTTTGAACTGCTGCTGCCGGCGCTGCTACTGAATTTGACCGCTTGTCAGCTACTTTCAATTACACGGCTCTCCGCAGCGCGTTCCGAGGCTTGAGTTTCGGCGTGAATTCTAGGACGAAGCTATCGATTGAGCCTAGGTAAACGGATTAGCACCGCCGCCGGATACGTGTCGGCCAGAACGACCACTTTCGCGCCTTCCGATCTCGACGCGCGGATTCTTTTGTCCCGGACGCGGCCCGAGAAACCCTCAATGTTCCAGACTGATCGATTTTACCTTCCAGTTTATGATCCGGTTATTGAGTTTACCCTCGTACAGGTGGGTTGTTACGGCAACGGCATGTTACAAATTGCAACTACCGATTATACAAACGGTTTAGATTTCATTTCCCCTCGGAAGATCGTCGATGAAACCAAGTAATTTTCCCCCAATTGCGTAACGCAATTTATTTATTCGTTCCTCAGCGTCGATCGGGACTTTACTTTGACGGAATTACGGTATTTTGAGGTTTACTTGTCAAGACATTTGCGCGGGACGTTAAAAAGGCGGCAAAGACGGCGTTCAATCCGTGTTTCCGTTAAAGCGAAGCCGAATTTGGATCGATCAAAGACTCGCCTGATGAAAATAAGTTCTCGAGTGTTCCGTATAAAACTGCGCATTGAGTCGAATCGGAATGAGCTTTCCCTATAATTACCCTGTCTCTATAATTACGGAGACTAACGACGCGATTTTGTGCGTGTCGGTGGAAAGCTACGTTCCCGCTCGCGCAACTCCGCGAGATTGATTTTCCGCAATTAGAGAACGGCCTTAACGAGTTTCCGCTGGAACGGAGAGCTTTTTGCCGACCATACCGCTTGTTCCCCGTCGCGTCGACGACTCGCATGTCTTAATGGATTCCCGAGAGCCTCAATATTGTCCGAAAAGATTGCAATTCTCTCACTCGGCGGCCGACTTGATCAACGACGCTCGTCGTCATTTGATAGGATTCGGAGAAAAGTAAGGGAAGACAGGTTTAGAGAGCAGAGGGAGGCCTTTTTGAAGCCCTCCCTCTTTATTAAAAGCCTGGTTTTCTTCCGGTTATTTGATCCCGAAGCAGAGAACGTGGGAAAAAAAGACGTCCTCCTTCAAGAGAGAGTTCGTAAACGACGACAAAAAATGGCGTACGACCTGAATAACAAACTGTTCAAAGGGGATATCTTTAATAAGTAACGCGGGATAAACGTCCTTTCCCCTTCACACACACACACACACACACACACACACACACACACACACACTCTCTCTCTCTCTCTCTCTCTCTTTGTTTTTCTTTTACCTTTCACTCTTTCTTTCTCTCGCAGCTTAAGACGCGACTCGCGAACTGATTAAAAACCATCGTGGCTAAATCGCGATCCGAGTTAATTGCGCGATCGCAATTACGCGCGCCGCATGCGACGCCCAGTGCGTCCGGAAGCGGATTATATTAAAAAATACTCGTGTCAAAGAGAACGACGTGAGTCGCGCCTGTTAATTAATTCCCTTTCGGACCGTTATCGCGGATAAGGATTAAGTCGAGCTTACTACGTCCGGTCGAGAGAAAACTCGCGTTCTTTTCACGTCACCGTGCCGTAATAGCACGCGATCGCTTCTGGCGAAGCTGCTGTCAACTTGCGCCGCGGTCGCCTTTTCGATGCCGGCGGTTTACAAATTCGCGTCGTTCACCGGTCCCGTTGTTGTTGTTTACTCATTTCGCGAAGCTCGCGTCGACGGATTCGTACCTCGCGAAAAAAACATCGCGGCTGGTGCCGCGCCAGGAAATTGCGACGGATTAACGCGTCAAGCGTTCAATACCTCGCGGAATAGCTCGTCGCTGACCGAAAGCGCTTGTTAGATTCTGCACCACCGATTACGAAGGGTTTCTAATGCGCCCGGAATCGCCGCTCATCGCTTATGCACTTGCGGGCGAGAGAGAGAGAGAGAGAGAGAGCTGCGTGCCCGTGAATCGTTCGCATATACGTCAATCAAGTCGGCGCTGAATTCACATTAGCGTTAAACGCACACGCAGCACACAAACACGCGCGCCCCTGGCCGGGTATCTACACATCGGCGCCGTTCATGCAAGTATTTCCGCGTCCGTTCACGGCTAATTGGCCGGGAGCAATAAAATCGGCGCGCAAATATATCAGTTTGATGCGCGAACATGATAAGAGATGATCGGATCGAGGGACTGACCTGCGCGCATCGCGTGAATCAAGGAACTTTTATGTAGCTCGAGTCACTTCTATTTCGATGTTACGCCGTCTTGCAAACGACGATGGGTAAAACGGTTCGATTTTGGCCCCCGGAGCGACAAGCAAAAACGGCATATTTTTCTGCGGTTTTTAAACCGCTGAATCTGATTCTGACCTTTAAGAAGTCTGAATTTGTCAGGAAAGTATTGAAATCAGCATATGAAGATTTCTGTTTATTAAAAGCGTTTCGCTTTTGTAGTGTTTTACTACTTGAAAATGTAAGATTTACGCGACAAATATTTTTACGCACCAAGATCCGTTTTGACCGAATAAAGCCTTCGTTTGTTAATTTCGGTTGTTTACGTATCGATCGGTTTTCACGAAATATTGTTTATTTTATTATAATTTTACATTTTCACTAACACACCGTTCTGATAATGAATCTTCTTGTATATTTAATAGCTTCATATTGTGGTTATAATACGTTCCCGAAAAATTAAACTTTTTCAAAGACTGCGATCAGATTCAGCAGTTCAAAAACAAGAAAACATACTGTTTCTACTTACCACTGTGAGGTCCGAAATCGGCCGGTTTCATCCATCGTTCTTGTCGGCTTGACAACATTCAAAAGTGACAAAAGTTCGCGCGACCTTCTCCGTCGCGTAATACGGATATTTGAATATCAATCGTCACGTTAAATTGAAATTATATTCAGGCATACGCGGTCTCGAGATTTTCCTTAGATTCCCAGTCGTCAATTTCTCCGTTACTCCGCGCGGTCTCCAGCGGAGCATCGCGCGTTCACGCCGGTTCACGGGAGTCAGTCGCAAAGAAGTGGGATCTCAATGTCTCTCTCTTGATAGCCGGTGAGACAATCGCCGCGAGTGTTTGCATGCCGCACTCAATTACGTTCTCGAGCCAATACGCGCATGGAGCACCGTCGCTTTTGCGTTGTCTGTGTGCGCATCAGGTCTGTGTTCGACACGGCGAGCCGGGTAGTTCCGATTGCAAGGAGCACGCGTCCCGTAACCACAAGAGCGCTCGGTGACGATTATTTGCTTGTTCCCACGCGTCGGCGACTTTTCATTATTCAACCGGCGACGCGCCCGTAAAACGGCCGCCGGTGGCTGCGCAATCTCGCAGTCGTCGCGGCCGTCGGCCTCGCTAAACCTTGCGTCCCCGGATAAACCCTTGCACGTGTTTCCGCACATTAGCACGTATGCCATCTCCCGGTACGTGGCGCGCTCGAGCAACCCTCCACCCGCGCGATTATCCCGGATCACTGACTATGAAGCGACAATTATCGGCGCGAGAGTGAGCGCGCGACTGCGATCGGACACGTTCCCGAAGCGGTAGGCCGCGCGAGTTCTCCGCGAGCGTTTGCGCAACTTCCAAGTTGCCGCGGCCGAACTGACGCAATCTCCGCCGGCGTAATTACTTCGGATTACGCCCTGAGCGACGGCCACGTGAGCGAGCGAACGAACGCGGATAAACGTTACGTAACTCGGGGCGATCTCGGACGCGTGAGCGCCGCGAAAATTCCAAAGCTGATCCCTCCGTGGATGACTCCCGGCGATCGCGGATCCTTTCATCACCGGGGTGCTGATTTCGGGCGCGATGGACGTCCGATCGGACATCTGAGCGACTCGTTATTGCTCCCACCAATTCCCGTACTCCCACGCACGCACACGTTCGGCAGATTAGAGCGACCGCCGTGTTAAATTCTTCCGATCGAGCAAAATGTCGAAGTGAAATTCACCGTTCGCGGGAGAAGTTAATTCCCTTTCGAGATGATACCGCGCGAGATGAAATTCCGGCTGGCATCCCCGAGCAGACTCGAGGATATGTCGGGTCCGATGAGTGTTTTCGAATTCCCCGGGAGAGCACGTTCCCCTCATTAATTCCCGATTAGTGATGCAAGGCTGGCCAGTGATTACAGGCAGACGTACGCGAAAAAGCTCGACTCGCTTCCGTGGCGGCGGTTCTTCGGGCTCAACGCGTAATGGAGCCGGGCTTTCTTGCGCGGTACGTTTGCTTTTGTTAAACACACCGTCACCCGTTCCGCCGGCGATACTCTCCTCTCCGCGGGCGTTAATGGCATCATAAGTGTGCTAATTGGGAAAAGGGAAGAGCGCGGGACTTCATCAGCGGGCGCTTGATTGCGAAGATTAGCCCTCCGGCGTGCGCGGTGCCGGCATTAATTTCACCGGTGCGATAAGTTCGCCGGACGAGCGCGAAAATGGCAGGACGGTGTCAGATTTCATCGCTGACATTCAATTACGCTGATTAGTCCCGCAGGCGTGCGCACGCCGTTATCTCGAGCGTTTCCGCGACGACGCGGTAAGTTTCCGCGAGGACGTTGCGGGCGAAGTCGGGCTTAACCCGCTCGCCAACGCTCGCGACGAGGGCGGCGGGATTTCGCGCGAGATAGCGGCAACGTACCTTGGCTGACCGCGATCGCCTCGATAACCAGCAGAAAACCAGCGAGTACCAGCACGGCGAGCCAGCGACACAGCATTTTTAACACCTCGTTCGCCCGCTGCACTACCGATCCTTGCTCGTTTAACCGTTTCCTTCTTACCCTCTCTTTTTTCTACTCACTGCGACGAGCACCACGCGTACTCATCGATCTCTTTTTCTTCCCTCTCTCTCTCTCTTTCTCGCTATATCCGCGCACTGTACAACGTGTCCTCACTGCGACGGTATCCCCGGTGTTTTCGGTAGTTCCTCGCGTCGAGCCGAGGAAACAGCGCGCCTCCACGACGGCTCGGTCTCGCCCTCTTCGAGAATCTGTTCCTGTACTCTCCCCGACTCTCACACGCACACCTAGGCGCGCTTCGACACGGAAATCTCCACTGCACCACGATTAACACCTCGGGGAGACGAATCATCCACCGCGGCCGGCTCTGAGTTCGTGAAAGTCACCGGAAGAACGCGGATAGATAATCGCGAGCCGGCGCTCTCTCCGACGAGGGTGGATCTCCTCTCTCTCAACCTCTCACAAGTCCACGGCAATCCGCGGCTCCTTCACAGACGCTGTTCCGCGGCCGAGCTGCGGCTGGCCCCGACGACACCCGCGCTCACGTGGAGCCCTCGTCGCGACGCGCGACCCGCGAGTGGTCAGCATCTTCCGGCCGGGACCAGCGCGTTCGCATTCGGTCAATCGCTCGCGCGTTCCGACAGACTGTCCGATTAACTCGCGGGACCCTGTCGGACGGTCGTCATCGTACGGACCGCGTGCTCGACGTCTCGTGTCGTCGCCGTCGTCGTCGTCGTCCCGCGCGACGACGATGAACCCGCATGGACCAGCAGCCGCCGACGCGGATGAGGCCTGCCGCTCGGCGTCGCGGCGCGAAATGATCCTGCGGGGGAGACTTTCCTCGGCGCGCCTGCGCGCTGACTTTGCTGCGTTCGCCGCGGATAAAGCGCGGACCGGTTACGCGCAGACCGCTGCTCCTCTCTTCTCTCCTTCTCTCTGTCGGTGCCTCCGCATCCCCGCTGCGATTCCCTCTTCCTCCTGGCGCGGCCGCCGGGGGTGATCGCTGCGAGATCGAGGGTGCACCGGAACGCACACACGCCCGTCGAGAAAGGTCCGTCTTGTTGTCGACCCCGCGCGCGCGCGCCTGTCTTCCTCGGAGAATTATGATGTTGTCGCCGTTGACGGATCGGCGAACTTTGCCCGCATTAGACGTCGGTTATTGTCGGCTGTCGCGGCCCTTTCTCACGGCCACCGCAAGACCCGCGACAGTCTAATTCCCTCAGCCGCCTCGTCTCGCGGGAGAATTCGCGCTCGTCGAGGGACGCGAACGCCGAACGAGACGGCCGCGATCTCGAGTCGACTTTCGCCCCGTCAAATATTTATTTCTACAACATAGCAGAAGCTAAGATAGCTGAATGAGTTCAACTTCAGTTCTAGTGATATAATATAACCCCGTACTTTGAACCTGAGAATGTCTGAAATTCCCGTTTTCGGTGTTTTAGCGTGAAACTCAACATCAAAATTTCGACTTACGGGTGATTTCGTGCTAATGCGTAATCGACGGAATATCGCGAATACGGTAGCTGTAAGTGGCGGAGCTATTTATGTCGAGCAAACCGGTGGAAGTAACTCTACCTCTTTCTCTTTCTCTCTCTCTCTCTCTCTCGTTGTACATTATTCTTTTATGTTTTTTTATGTTATTTCTCATATAGTTCGATACATATATTTTGCTTATTTTTCAATAATTTCATTTATATTTTCATACAACTCTGATCAACTCTTTATGATCATACATACATATACTGCATTGCAGTATTATTATGCGGAAAAAAATAATTATCTCCGACAACTAGAAACTAGCTATCCATGTGACACGACTAAAATTTAAATACCAGACCTAGTTTTTAGTCGCAGGAACCAATTATTTTTCCCGTGTATACGAAAGAAATAGTCTTGCATCAATGATAGATATTTTCATATATAAGCAAGAATATTATAATATTCTTAGAAGATTTGTAATCTTAAATGAGTGCAAGTGATATTTGCATCAATATAAATTCAATCACAAATCAAGATCTTCTAAAATCTTAATATTCTTGCTTATACATATATGAGAATATCTATTATTGATTGAAAACTAATTTTTTCCCATGTGCAATTATAGTCATAATAATATAACTTCCACAGCTAAAAACTAGATCTAATGATCTGAATTTCAGTATTATATGAATAGCTAGTTCCCAGCTATGGGAGCTATTTTTTTCGTGAATCACTATTATTTCTTAATTTAATACATTTAATCCTTAATAGTTATACTTATTTCTTCGTTGTCTTGTATTATTCTAAACTTTGGCAAGTAACCATACTTATATGAAATTTCTATAAACTCGGGGGGTCTTTAACCGCAGGGTGAAAATAAATATTCCACTCCATTCTCGTTGAAACGCACTCGTTCGCGAATCGCTCTGCGGAACTAATCGGTATATGTTAACAGAACCTTACTTGCCTCGCTCAGCCTCAAAGTTGATAATTGCTCGCGCCTGCATCACGGACGATTGAACTCCGGCAAGACTCGGCGAGTATTGCCAAACTGCAGCACATTGGTGGCGACGCGTAACGCGTTCCTGTTTACAGAAACTTATCGACGCGAATACTGTTGCCAAGTATGCGCTGCGGAGGCCCGCCTCTGTCGACAATAACCGCCGTTAATGTGTGCGGAGAAACCCTTCGACATGTATCGGTATGTATTTGCTCACAGGGCCCGTGATGTATGAGTTCTTTATCCAAAGCTTCACGGAGTCCATGGATCAGTGTGTCCGCGGAATTACGGGCTAATAACTTTTCTATTGAACGCGAGCTTTCGAATGACGGATTTGCGGGGATTATAGAACGAACTTTCACGAGGTTTTCTGCGCTTCTCGCGTCACGATTTATTTACGCTCCGACAATCCGCACGGAAAGTACACAAGGGAAGAAGACCTTCGAACGGTAGTGGTGCGATGTGAAGTATCCGATCGACTTCCAGATGCGCGTAAACTGATCTCCGAGCGATCCGCGAAATTTGCTCGAGCACTAGATTCGAATAGCGACGTTGTACCGCTTCGATCAATAAATTGATAGAGATGTAAGTGAAAAATGGCAGGGAACGACGAGACAATGGGATATTAGTCAGTCGTCGTGTTACCGCCTCTCAGTGCGAGTTATGATCGTTGGCTCTAACAGCTTGGTGATTTTCAAAGGTAATCCGCCGTCGAGGCGCGCGCGTATTCATCGACGTGTTCGCGGAGAGTCGGTCGAAATTTCGCAAGAGCGAAGCCCGACGTTGATGAAACTATTCGCGTAATGTCGGCTCTGCTCAAATAGAGGTTTAGGCTTTCTTTCGACCGGACCGTCGGAGCGCCACTTCGGTTAGTATATAGAGCTGGCTTTGCCGGGCGGCTTCATGGACGCCATCGAAACGTGTAAGCGGGCTTTCGCGATTCCACGTAAAAGGATATGTGTGGCAGTGCCGCGCTTTCAGATGGGACGGATTGATCGGACGGATCTAGAGCAAAATGTTCCGCCTGTTACACGTCTATACGAGCTCGCGCGACGTACTACGCCGACGGTGTTGTTGCCGTCGTTGTTGGTTGGTATTTGTTCGCGCCCGCAATCGGTATACCGGAACGCGCCATATTAACGAGAGAAATCCCGTGTTTCACCTTACAGGAATAATATAACGGGAAATAAGCGAATTACGGATCTGATGCGAATTGGTGTACCAAATGCGTGGCACATTCAGTACGACCCGCATAGAAAATTTCTTGCGATCTAATTGGGATTCAGTCCGGTTTTCTAAATAATTATGAATTCCAGTCGGGAAATCCACGCAATAGTGTGCTTACTAAGTGTTAAAATAATATATTTTATATTTCAGTGCCGATTAATATATTATAGATAATTTTGTGTTGATTTTTGAGATAAGATCCTTGTTATTTTTTAACGTTTTCATCTTGTGTTTAATTAACACAAAAATTTGTATGAGCCGATCGGGACGTATGAAATTGACCCTTTCGATACGAGCACTCTGTCCGCCGTGACACTCCCGCTGTACGAGGCGCCTCTCCGAAAATGCACACATAGCGCGTAGTCAGTCCTCTTTTGCATGAAGATTTTCCTAAGCGTTAAATAAGAACTGTGCTTAATTTAATACGTCAGTAAGATAGAATACTCTGTTACGAACTATAGATGGCGCTCGTGCATACAGGCTGTCACATGGATGCCGGATATATCCGGCGCTCGTACCGAAAGGGTGAAATTTAACACAAAAGTTTTTACTGTGCACGGTTGAACAAAATATACGAAACACTTCAAACATTTCTAATTTAAAAGTGCATATACACATTATGCACGTGTTATCAAACATAGTAACATTAAAATAGAATCCCGTTTATTAATATCGTAATTTGACATCCGGTCAAACTGTTAGTCTATTCGAGCGATGATAATCACACCGCAGCGCACAGTCAATCAGCAGCGCGGAAAAGAGGCTCCATCCATGTTTGGGATAAGAATGGGATTCCCTATTAGTATCATATATTGAGAAAATTTTGAGTATTCTGTGTAATCGGAATCTATATTGTATATAAGAAAGTCTGAGAACATTTCTACACGGAAATATGTTCAAACTCAGATAACCGCGCGATTGTTAACATTTTCTCTTGATCGATTTAATTAGCTCTGACCATTCTTGATTAATTTACCTCAGTGTTTCATTTTATTTATAACAAATTGATTTATTTCATCAATGAATAATTTGGTTGATTGCATGAACGTATTCTGCATTCGAAGTGTTGCACGTTGCCTCGTGGCCGATTGATTTCACCTGAGTGAGACCCTTTATTCAGGTCAAGCCGCTAGCTTGACCTGAACGACAGATTATTTATTCTGGATCTTTTACGAAGATTATTGTACCAAACAGCCCGTTGATGTCGTCAGCAATAAATTCTTACAAGTGGAGATCTAGATTTTTACATCGTTCTCCCGGTTTTATGCAATTGCGATGCGCGCGCGCGCGCGCGCTTAATATCTACGACACTCCAATTGTTCGAGTCTTGATTGAAAGCCGAGTCACTCGGCCGACGGATTATAAGGTGATTTAGTAGAGAAATTATGCAATTTATTTTAACGGGAGAGAGAAAATAATTATTGAACGTTTATTATTAATCCGCAATTTATACGTGTCGCAAGACGTGCCTGAAACGGTGAATTTGTCGATGGTGAAATTACGTCGCTCGTAGCAACTTTGTTTACCTACTTTGTTTGCCTATTCTAATAATCATTGTGTGGATATCCCGCGAAATTATACCACGAGGTCGACATTTCGAGCGCAGTGACATTTCGGCGCGCACAGCAACTTTGCTAACATTCACTAAATATTTAGCCGACATACATCCTGCTTGCATAATGCTCAAAGATCTACCCTGAAACCGCAAGAGCCCGAATTCCCGGCGTGTGTGTTACGCCGAATGTGGGTTGTCTGTATCTAATCCCTCCCTGGCATCGCGCACGTAAGCAACCGGTTATATCCGCTGAACTCAAAACCATACGGTAGCGTTTAGCATTAAACGTGCAGTGTGAACACAGGGGCCCGGCATGCTCCCGCGGAATTTCGGATCGTTAACCCTGATTTGCTGCTGCGGAATTCCCACCGCGGCGCGGATCAAGATGAATCAATCTCCGATGACCCTCGGTGGCATTTCCACTTTCACAACGTGTGATTTAAGGTCAATCG